ATGTGTGTGCAAATGCACGAGCCAGTGGATGAACAGGGCAGGAGAAATTATTGCCAGAGTTATTAAGATGGAAATATGATTTCCTCTGTACAACTATTCTCATCTTAACTTTAAATTCTGATGGTTATCTTAAATGTATAAAAGGACATTAAAATACAAGTCTGTTTCTTATATAGAAAATTATCTGCAATCTGGCCTTTACACTAGACAAGAAAGGAAATAAGGCATTACTTAAATCTCTATACAATGTCACAGCAGCCATTTTTCAGTAGATTCAGAAAGATGATGATGCAACATACTAAACATTGCTCTTAAAACTGGGGGGCCTTTTGCACAAAATGTGCTTAGGGGCATTGACTATATGAAGGAACCTTCAGAATAAATTCAGCATTTGGGATACTAACATAAAATTATTAAACTTCATTTTAGGAAGAACATGCTCATTTAATATCCAAAGGGGAGGTCAGGTTTCCTCCACAAAACAGGTACAGCTGAACTGAGTGTTCTCAGCCTCTGGTAAAACATCAGTGACTCATTGAGCAGCTCCTGCCTGAGCACAGCAGCAACACCAAAGCTCCAGTCCAAGCTGAGAAATCATAACTTTTTGAAGCACAATCATTTTGTTGGCAGTTTTTCCCTTGACTCAGGAAATATCTATGAATGTTGTGAATCTGCCATTTTATGGTTTGGGATTTTTACAAGTCCTTTTTCCTCCTTTTGCAGGGGAGGGCAGAGAGAGGAAGAGAACGTGAATGGCAGGAAACAGGAGAGCTGTGAATTATTAGTTATGTCCATTTTCCAGAGCAATAGATTTAATCCTATATTTGTCATTGCAATGTTTTAACACACACACTTGAGACAACACACAAGCACGAGACAATCTTGTAATAAGATTGTCATAAACAAATGTTTGGGGTGTTGTGCTGATCTCACTGAGCAGATTTTCTGTAATGCAAGAAATGCAGTTGCACAGCCTCAATTGCTGGCATAAATCATTCTCTAATTTGTTGATGGTGGGGTTGGGAAGAGAGGGCAAATTTCTTTCCAAGTGCAAAGCAATGTACAAATTGACCATTATGTTTCTAAATTATCTGAGTCAACATTTTTTAAGAAAGATTCTATCTGTGGTGCTCTTCCAAACATTGTTAATATAAATTCTGTGTAACTGGTAAGAAGCACAACTGAGGTCACTACAAGTATCTGCTGAGTCAAAAGTACTAAATCAAGTCCTTGTCTGCTAAGTGGTAACATGCAGAAATTGCTGCTAGAAATGAGAACCTCGTTTTAGCAAACTGTGCACACCACTCAGAACTAAACATGTTAATGTATGCACATATATGTATACAAATATATACTTTTTATGATTAATAAAGCTACAAACATAGAGAAACTGAGTTTTATGGGTGAATTCTGTAGATGTAAGCTATGATTCTTCTGAACATCCTTTGGCTGCTCAACAGCTTCTGGCTTCAGCTGCCAGAAAAATAAACTAAGAAGACTTTTTTTTTTGGTTGATAGGACAAGGTTTTTCCAAATCACTGACATTTCAAGTGGATTTCAAACCACAAAAGCAATCAAAATACAGCAATGGGACATCACACACCTCCACATCCTCCCAGCCCCTCTAAAAAAACCAACCAACTTTGAAGGCCCTGTGAGAGGAAGGGAAACAGAGATGTTTTGACTTACCCTCCTCCTCCTAATTGCTGCAGGCACATGGCAGTGAATGGGGCCCCAGCTCTGTTTGCTGGAGTATCTAAATAGCACCTTAAGCCAGACAGAAATGTGGATACAGCCAAGCACGTGCTGGAAATACAAGAAGCTGGAAGGACCAAGAGGCAGAGCAGTAGCTCAGATTTGTTTACACTCATGTAGGAACTTGAGGTGGGAGAGAAGCCTTGCACATAGAACTGCCCTGCAACATGCTCAGGATGCCTCTGAATGACAGCAGCTTTATCACTGTTAATTGAACTGCCTCTAGGAGTGTCTACACACAACCCAACCTTTTCTGCTCTTAAGGTCAAACTAATGTTTGTCTAATGCTTCATTTTAAACCCAGATGAAGAACATATCCTTATTTAGCTTTAGCAAATGTTACTGGGACAAATAAGTGAGACTAGCACTCCAAACCAGAACAGTTCCTGAAGGACTCCATGGCAAAGCTGTGTCATCTGAAATCACACAGCACCAAGTGAGCTCCATTCCCCTGTTTAGTGGAGTGTGTTCATCTCACCTGTGCCTACAGATATGGAATATTAATCAGACTGAAGTTAACAACAATGTTTTTTTATATTATCACAGGTTTCTGAGAGCTGATTGCTAATCAAACTGACCAGCACCCATGCAGGTAATAAATTCTGGGTCAGTCAGAACTGCAACAATGCAAAGGATGATTCATGGATGCCACCAAAGAAAACAGCATTCTATTTTCTGGCCAGAGGGAAGAAGTTGAAAATAGGCCATCAGCTGATTGATCACTAGAGCCTGTGCTTTCCTCTGGAAAACTTGTTGTGGCATGCAACTGCCAAGAGATTACACTGAGTCCAGGACTTCCAGAGATAGCAGGGAGGATACTTTTTCCTGCAGACTGTGTAGTTTTTACAGCTGCTATATTAATCTTGCATCCTAGATTATCGTGGTATCACTTATGTATTCCATCTGAGTACAAACTCCTTACACTTCTGGTAGCATTTATTTACAAATTATCCTGTAACAAACAACTGAAGCAGGGATGAAGGGAGCCAAAACAACAGAAGTCTTTTTGACTTGAGTCCTCCCTTGAGTCTTCTCAGACTCAACTGTGTCTAAAGGGTTCGTATTATGATGCAGAAGGTTCCAAATAGGTTTGATGGTTCTCTTGGAGCATTCACAGGCTGAGAAATGAGTTTGTTTTGAATTCCCAGTTTAATTAACCACAGAAACTTCCAAGTGGTTGATTCCTTTTTTTTTTTCTTTTTTGTGAAGATGATTCTGCCAAGCCCAACATCTCATCTGCTGCTCTGGCTGAATTCTGACCAGCCTCATGTATCAGCAAGGTCTACCTGGTGAAGGCTACTGGGAAAGAAGTGGTTTTGTGGGATTTTATTGAAATTTAATCTTCCTTTGGCCTCAGGAAGTTATATCAGTCAGTTAAGGAAAAACTGACCTGTATTTATCTGTGCAAAGCACTGTCTAGACTTCATTGCAAGTCCTGGGCACGATGTTTCATAGATTATTTAATTAAGCATGCATCTGAATGGTTAAATCACTATTACTGCCCTAGCCCAATGCTGTGTGAGCTCAGGTTTCATGACAGATTGTACACGTGCTGGATTCTTGTCTAATGACCATGGAACAGGGCACGTTCAATTATTCTCTTTGGGTTTCAGAAAGAAACAGGAAGTTTTGCTATAAACAATGCAGTCATAGAATAAATTTCACCACAGCAAGTTCATCTGAAAAATATGCATTCTTTACAACACAGCCAGGAATGGCATTATGAGAACCAACATCCTGCTGCACTCAGTTTTTTATTGTTTTTTTTACTTTGGGTTATTTTGCATTAATACTTAGGCAATATAAGGAAAGAAAAAGTTTTAGTTAATACTGGATGTTTTGTGATGAGCATTACTTCAAAGATGTGGATAGGGAATCAAAAGCAGCTGCTAGAAACTACAGGATAAATAACAAGTTTGCTAAATTTAGTTTATGTTATGAAATACATAGAGTGAAGGAAGAGTCAGCCATTGTAAATTTTTATCAGCTGGGAAAGAATTACTATAGAATATTTCACTCTCTACTTATAAAATAAAGGAAATATGACAGACATGAAATTTTAAGAGGAATGTGTCAGCTAATCTACACTAAAGCTTAAGACTAAAGTACATCTAATATTGGGGTACATTTCTGCTTTCAAATCCTTCTAAAAGTCCACAAAAACATCCAACTAAACTGTAGCACTAATAAAATGAGAATAACTATTATTCTCTGGCTTCCAACTATGCCCAGAAAAACCACACCATTATTATTATTACTACAACACATCTTTCAATTATTCTACAAACAGGGTAATCTTTCAACTCTGGTATTAAATGAACATAGTGCTCTTGGATTATTAAAAACATTTTCTTAAAATAATCAATAATGATGCAGTTCTTCACTAAGAGAACAAGAAATTACTTTACTCAGCTATTTATTTAATCTCAGCTAATTCCATTATACTTAGTGCCAAGGTTTTACTTATTTTTTTAATTTTCACGTAGGAAAGAAGATATTTCAAAACATAACAATGGCAGTCTGCAATTACATATTGGATTAGGTTTTCCCTAGGTTCTAGATATTAAAGATTTCAAGTATTAAGTCACAGCAGATATTCTGGGAAGTACTTTACATCAAATGGGAAACAAAATGTCTATTTTTGAAAGACTGAGGTTGCCAAGTAAAAATGAAATACATGTTTAAAATCAAACAGTGCCAAGTAGCTGACACCTCCAATCTGACCCAACTAAAAACTGAATAATTATTCCATCAGTTTTTAAAATCTTGCCAATAAATGCACTTACAGAAATGTGGATGCACACTCCAGCATCCTTTTGGAGTGCACATCTGTTCTGACGGAGCAGGCCAGCAGAGGGAGCAGAAGTTAATAAACCTTCTCCTAGAACAAGGCTCAGACTCATCCATGCTATGTCAAACAGGAAAGGAAATGAAAGGAACACCATATTGCTTATCCCATTTGAAAAGGAAAATGTGGTGGAGAAAAAGAAATTCTATGACGTGGTTTTGGCTGGGTTTTTTTTTTGTTTGTTTGTTTGTTTGTTTCCAAACAGATAAAAACTCCAAACACACAAAACAGTGCCTCAAGCTCACCTTTTGCAAAAACACATGAATTTCTGTAGGACAGAAAAACGAACCCTCAGCAGGAACAGCAAAATATTTCCTCAAGTTGCTCTCTATGACATGGCTGCATAGTTTATAGGCACTTCCTCCTGCATTTCTGCTCCTTGCTGTCAATCTCTTACCTGCAGGTTGATCTCTGCTTCATAGAAAGTCAGGCAGGAGCAGTAGTGCCTCTCTGAGTCGATGTCAGTCAAAACCACCACGAAGAACGTTGGCTGCTTCCTCTCCTTGGAGAGCTGCCATCCTCCAGGCTGGCAAAACTAAGGGAGCAAACAGACAGACACAGGTAACACCAGTTGTTTTCAGAAATATGAAAAATATTTCAGCATGATCAAGGATCATTTTGTTTAAAGTGAACATATGCAGGGTTGCAAAATTTGAAGAAAATGGGGAAAACCCACTATGTCTTGAACTTGGTAAGACTGAGAAAAATTTAGCTCTATAAACATTAAGGGAGAGAATAAACACTATAAAAAGAAAATGTATTCCTTTAAATACAGTCAGCATTTAAGAGCATCTTTGTGGTGTTGAACAGGAAATAACAGGAATAAATTGACACATGAAGCAGATTTAATTTGGATAAAAGGTTAGAATCTGAAGCTAAAATTCTTGTGTCTTAAAACAACTCTCCATTTTTCATTTCTTCACTTATTTCACTAATAATTTATCTAATCAAACATAGATATATATCACTTGCACCTACTTGCAAAATAGGAAGTGAGTTCAATACCCATTCCTAAAAAGAATACTATAGAAAAATATTTTTCACCTATTTATTGATTACTTCTGTAAACTTCATTGTAAACATTTGAAATTTTACACACACAAGTAGCATGAACAAACAGAACTACAGCTCAACAGCAAAATGGAAATTCTGAGATTTTTTTTTTCCTTTTTATAGGAATACTCTCTAATGCAAGAGTGTGCTGAAATTCAGGGATCAGTTTGCTGAAGATATCTGGGATGGCCTTTATCCCTCCTTTCTTTTACTGAAGGCTAAAGTCACATCCACGAAAAAATCACAAATACATTTCTAATAGCAAAATTATAAACCTAGAATTTAGACAAAAAAAACAATAACCCCTGTATGTATTAGGAGTAATAACAATTAAAAAAACCCACAATAAATTCCTAGAATTGTTAAATGATGCAGATACCAAAGGAATCAAACAAATAGGTCAAAATCTCAAGTTTCCAGAATTGCTTCATTCCTCTATACAGATGTTAAAGACTGAAAGAGCATGAAGAGTAATTTGTAAACAAACATTTTCTACAGATTCATCTTTAGAACCTCTACCATAAAAGCTGGGTAGTCTTAGGTGAGCACCAGTTAAAACTCTGCCTCTGATATGCAGTTTCTTTTATGATCCTGGGAAAATCTTCAAAACCAAAGTTTTCTCATGTTACATTCTTCAAATTCTAGATAGTCAGCTTAACACTTGTGAGTCTGCATCCTTAGAAGTGCTAAGCACTCCCTTCTACATCTGAGAATAACTGCTCTGAACATCAAAAAGTACTTTGTGGAAAGACATCCTAGTCATTCCAAGTTAAGCATCCAGTATTAGTCTATGATTTTGATAATGCTGGCCTAATCTCCTTTTGTTTTTCATCCCATGTCAGTTAAAAATAAGAAGATACTGCTATTAATCTTGCAGGACTGCTATAAAGATAATGCAATATGGCAAATATATACAGACATTATAACAAAAACATCATTAAAAAGTTTGACAATAAAAAAATCATTAAGAGTTCTCTATGAATTGCAGAGTTTGAGGGGTGTCTGTGTAATAAACGAAGCCTGGAATCCACAGTTCAACAAGATAACCCCCAAAACTGTGAACTGCTCTTTGCCCAACAAATATGAGCCAAAATGCAAAGAATGCAGCAAGAGCCTAATAATAAATAAAATCTTTCCATGATATGCCATGAAAACCAAATTATTTTCCTACAAGGTAGGTCAAATGAAGGCTGTTCATGCAGCTCAGGCTTTGTAAGACCCAAACACTCGAGTTTACAACCTTAACACCCCTTCAGATCTGCCCAGTCTCCCAGCTCTGACAGGAGCTCCTTGCTGGTACCACTGCCTTTCTGCTTTACAGGTGATGCCCATCTCACACCTGGAAACCACAATCTCAGATTTTTGAGAGTCTGGAATTCCTGGACAGAGCCCCACTCTGCCCATTCCAAACCCTGCCCTACTAAAGGCACAGAAGCACTTTGGTATTGTTTGAAAACAATCCTTTTTATTGGGAAAATGCATTATTAGCAGGTCTGCTGCATAAAATCTATTTCAACATCTGCCCTGTAAACTGGGAAATGCAAAGGGAAACCCTACAGCTAAACTTTGAACCCTCAGAGGAGACTTTGGATCTGAGCAGGCTGCTGTCAATAGCAGCCTCTCAATCTATGCATGTCTAAAACCTACTCATGTCACAGGTGAGAGTTCTCCCCAATTGCAAAGTGATCTTGTGCACAAAATGATGCCTCAGGCTTTAGCTTTTATATTTTTCAGGTTCTGTACTACTTTGGTGTGCAGTTCATATTACGGGATGGTGAGCTCTTCACAGAGTAGGGAGACAAAACAATTCCTTCTCTAGCTGGGGACCAAGGACAAATGATCCAAATTTCAGGCCCAAGGGCATAAACAACAGTGGACTGAAGAGAGAAAAACAAGAAGGATGGGACTTCATGGGCTGAAGCTGTAATTGGACAATTAATTCCAATATGCAAATGGACCAGAACTTATAAAAGTGAGCGATCCCGTGACCGGCCGTGCATTTTGTGACCATTTTGGTTCATCTTGGGCGTAGCCCTGGCTGGGCTCTTGTGCTGCCCAAGGTGGATCCATCGAGGCCTTCTAATAAATCCCTACTTTATTCTTTAACTCCATCTAGCCTCTGTCCTAGGTCAGCCTTCATCAGGCATCAAAACTTCCTAGATTTAACTGTTTTACTAGAAAACAACAATTGGTGATCGCTGAGGAAAACAGCTGAAGTAGAGTACATCCACTGGCTACACAGAGAGTCTGTGTTTTCAAATAAACTAGAAGGAATTTATAAATAAAGAGATTGAGGATAAAGACAACAGGCTCCCCCACGAGATTAAACAATGACTGTTTCTCAGTTTCCTTAAAATAAGGTAATAAATATTAGCGCAATATTTGAAATGCAAGCAACATTGAGAAGAACTTTCCAAACCAGCATAAATACAAGTTACCCTCCAGGATGATTACCAGCACTCTCTGGCTACTAAGAACAAGGAAATGTTTCCATACCAAACCAGATGCTTCACCAAAACAGACAAAAGCATCATTGTGAATATAAGCCAAAGGTCATGTGGCTTCTCCAGTAAACAAGAAAAACCCCAACAGTTTAAGAACCAACACCCTTCCATATTGTTTCACTTATTTGCCAGAATTCTTGGAAACAGACTACAACTCCTATCAAAGGCAGTGAAAAGAAGAATGAAGCAGAATGTCCAACTCACAATTCATAAGAACGAGGCCCTAATGCTGGGCGAGTGCTTCCAACAGACTCCATGTTAGAACTGACTGCCTTCTAAACTTTGCTGCAGATATGCAGAAATTGCCCTGAGCAATATGCAACACATCTTACACTGCAGGTACTGAAATTACACTTTCTGCATTGTCTGAAACTGCAGGTGCCAACTGAAGCAAAGAACTTTCTCTCAATTATTCCCACAAATGCCTTCAGACTAAACAAGAAACCAGACAGATTTAAAAATGATGCATGGCGTTCTAAACCAGTGTAACTGGGTTTGTTACCTTCAAAAAATTTCTATGTCATCACCACAAGCCTTCTTGCTAAAGTCTAGACATGATTAATCAGTTAAAAGTGACATTTCTTTCTTCTGATTTTTATAAGCTAAACACATCATCCTTGCTTGATTCACAGATTTGTTCCCTCTCTCTAACCTAGAGCTACAGCTGTACTGCTACTGGTTGCCTTGTCCCTCTCAATTGAAATAAATCATTTGCATAAATCAGCATATCCCCTAGATATACTGGACACAGCTTTGGTGTCCAGAAACCTAGGACATCCTGATTGGGAAGGGACAGGTTGTGAAGTAGATCCTCACTTGAAAAAAGTCATTGAGATGCTGGACTTTATCCAAAGATGGGTTTGGACACCCAGTGTTTGAGGCCATGACAATTTCCCCAAGGAGCACTTTAAAGTCTGTTGAAAAATTGAAGAAAATGTTGAAATTGTCACAATTTCTATCAAAGCACTAGAGGAAGAAGGCTTGTTGGTTACTGTGAATATGAAGATTAAATATCATGATAATGAACAGTAATTCTAAAGTGTTCAAGTTTCATTAAAGAAAAATTTCAGTCCTTTGTATCCTTACCATGACAAAACTATAATATCCATATCTCAGAAATTTGATCAGAAATGACCCAGCTGCAAGAACCTGCACCTTAGAAATCCATCATTTTCTTCTGGCCTTGCAGCCCGAGCACAACCAAGTCCACAACACAAACTCAAACCAATATTCTAGCTGGGTCTGTGCAGCCACAGACTGCTCCCTCTGCACTTTACATTGTTTGCTGCATCAATGAGCTGCTCAGCTTCCCGTCACAAATCCACCACCTCTGATGGCATGACCAAGGGAGAAAGGGAAAAAAGCTTGTTCAGAAAGTTTACAACATGAAACATTCTTTGCAAGTCATCCTTTGAAAGTATTTTAGGAAGGGTTTACACAGAGTAGTAGACAAGCTCTGTGACAGAATCCTGCACTTGAATTATTATATTTAAGACATTTTCTCACACCATACTTATTTCTTCAAAATATATTTGTGCACTTGCTCCTTGTCAAATAAAATCCAAAGCTATCTAGGATACACATAAAATAGAAAACTCTTGAACTCCATTGACAAACATGAATTAAAAGATCCCAAAATTATTTTAAAATTTAAAACATCTGACAGAGATATCCGCTTTCCTTTCTAATTCAAGTCTTTCACCAAACATTGAATTCTCCCTTGAATCACTCTCTGCACAAAGATTCATTTCATTAAGCCTGCTTCTGCAGGCTCTTACTATTCAAGTAACTGTGCTTTGTTTTTAACATGTATCATCATCATCCTTCCTGCAAACCTCCCTAAAAATAAAGAACCATGTTCTGGACATTATGTGAAGGAAGTTTGTTCCATCTGGACTTGCATGACCCAGCACCAGCTGCTGAGTATTTCACCATTTCTCCATTCACTTATGTATGGAATTTTGGCAAAGGGAATTTT